ATGACAGCATGCTTTCTGACTAAATACGAACAACTGCGTACACAAAGTAATGTTTAGATGCAGAAATAAAACATTACAAAAAATTATCTGGCTCTGAAAAGGGAAAAATTCTTCTATAAAATTATTTAAGTGCAGTAGTTGGCATCACCAAATCTAATGAAGGTTTCAGATTCACAGGCATGTTATTAATTCCAGCTGGAATTACCTAGTGTGGTAGGTAAAGAGCCCCCTAGAAACTTGAAACTACTTATTAATAAGATGAACAATTGGTTTTCCAAGTCATCAGTGCATCAAACAGCCTACCAAACATTGTACAAGTCTATCACTGAAGGTCACAATACTTTAAAATTTACCTAGAATTGCCAGATGAAATAAGAGCCTGCCGATTCTGCTGTGTCTAGGATCACTGACCAGTAGCTAGAACTGAAAGCTTATTTTAATTTAGTGCATAGAAGTGAGAAATTCCCTGCTGCAGGAATGCTCTCTTGAATGCATTGATGTGAAACAAGATTTACACACTTGCTCTCACAAACTAGTATTACCTGACATGCAAGATGACAGTAAACGTTAGAGATGAACAAAACTCATCTATCTCAATTGCTAATGGGCTACATCTATTTTGTTCAATATGTTTCAAAATATATTTATTCTTGTGTGCCAAGTGGTAGCAAATTTAGAGTTCTTTTTCTCCTAATCTAAAATCAGTTTTTGAATTTTATACTGTTCTGAATGCAAAAAATAGTTACTTGAGGAAAGTAACTTGAGTTAGACTAATTCAGTTAGTCTCCCTTGTCATTTTCCATAAAAAATAAGTGTCTCTTAAATTCTCAGATGGTGCTTTGTCTTCCACATTTATGAAGAGACTTCTATCTGCGCTCCCTTCCTCACAACCTTTTAGACATTTCAGTCTTTCAACAGTGTTGGTGAACTTCTGTAGTTAAGAATAACTTTTACAAGAACTTTATATGAGAGATTAAGAATATCAATTGATATTGACAATGTGTCTTTAGGTTTTCACAGCAATTTCCAGTCTTCGCAAGATTTCAGTAATTCTGCTTAAAATAATTTTCCCATCAGCGTATGCATCTGAACACTTTTAAAACACAATCATCCATATGTTAGAAAGAAGATGCTTCTGGAAACTGGTGAACACAGTATTTCCAGATTACAACCTCCAACTTTCTTTTACTGAAGAACTATAGAGTTTCCAAACCCTACAAGGTAATATTAAAATTATATCATATCAAGTTGATTGTAGAGTTGTAACATGCACAGCAAATACTTCTAGAAATAATGGATCAATGGATCAGTTGATTATCAGGGATCAGTGACTGCAGATTCATGCTTGGAGTTACTATTATTTAGGCAGGTGCGTGGAAGAGCCTGCCTGGCCAATACCAGCAGACCTACAAATTGTGTGTAAACTGCTCTTTCCAGCAGGTTGCTCTTTCTGAACAGGATGATCACTTAACCAGAAGCACTCCTGACAAATGGTGTTGCTGAAGAGTATAGTATTAAATGCTCTGAATCCTGAAAGTTTTTACTTAGAACAAGATAGTCTAATCCAAGCAAGAACACTTAAGATTAAAATTAAATGGGTTCATTCAAAATGGCAAAAATGTAAGTCCAGTATATGATTACAGTCTACAGACAGATTGGTAGAGAAATGAAAGAAATTTGTGTTAAAGTATTAGAATTAACTTAAGCCTTAAATTAGTAGATGTAAGTCACACATTTCCAAAACCAGAATGACAAAGCTCTGTAAGAAGAATCAATTACTTCAAAGCATACTTGAATGTGGTTTTTGGTTTGTTTTTGTTTGTTTGTTTGTTTGTAGCAGTAACAGGAGAGAAGAAAATTATGATACTTACCTTTACTTAGAAGGAAAGCCCTACTCAAATTATTTTCTGTATTTTAAATAGTAGGAAATTGATGGATACCAAATTACAACAATAAAACACAATGTCTCGTTATTTGGGACTGTTCTGCTCACAAAGCAAAAGAACTCCTTCTGATAGGCTCTTAGCATGCAAGTTTTCACAGGTAGGCCAGTGGTCATATACAAGAGATACCTGCCCTTCAGTGGCTGGCCCTTTTATGAGCCCAGAGTGGGTCTACCCTGGATCCAACCCTGCTGGTCACATAGGTAACATAGGTACAATTTGCCTGTGCTTTCTGGGCCAGAAACATGCGTTCTCCAGGTGCTCAATCACCAGTTCAAGCTGTGACCTAACAGCTCCCCTACAAGGATCATTATTGCCTTATCTAGCATTTGCTGCTCTCCATATCAGTTTAGTTGTTGTTGAACTCTTTTCCTTATTACAAAAACAGAATTACTATTATTAAAAAGCTCTCATATTTATTTCCTTAGATAAACTATTTGATTAATCATTGAAGGCGGCAGTTAGACATAATCAATTGTGCTGATTAATGAAATGGTTTGTCTAAGGAAATAAACATGCGAGGATTTATAAAAGATGTCCTCTGAATCTAGAAAAGAGACAAATCTGAGACAAAGTTAAGCTAAATTGAATGCACTGGTTATTTTTAAACCCTATCTAAGTTGTCTCCCCATGCTTCCCTTTTTGATTGGTTGGGTTTTTTGCTAGCATTCTCCAAGAAAATTGAAGACAAAACTATTTGTGACTGAATTTCTAAACTTCTATTGCCACTTGAATGTTTATTTTCTCCTGAATATACGGGAATTTTGTTTTTAAATATTTCTAATGTTTCAGGTTAGGGAATTTGTCAGGAGAATAGGACACAAAATTCTCCCTTTTGTCTGAGAGATATCCTTCAGAAACAGAACATAGTGAAACAGAAAACTGTAAATACAGACAAGATTTATTACAAGAAAACCATGGAAAGCAAATTATGTTTTCCATTTATAAGAATTACCTATATCGTATCCCAATTGTTTGAGGCCTGATACAAATCTGTTGTCATGAGAGAATGGTTCAGTCTGAATGGGAAATCATTATGAAAATTAAATCCTGGTTGGCACTGTGTTTTTTTATAAATGACTTTGAAGCCAATGGAAGTTAAGGAAAATCATGTATGTAAAAAGAATTACTGAAATTGTTCAGGCGATTAAATAGTTTTTTTTTAATTTGTACATTTTCTTTGTTCTAGATGCGGCTTTGAATGTAACAGCTATATGCTGGCCTTATCTAGGATAGCAATTAAAACATCTCTCCTCATCACATAATTACATCTCAGGAGACAGATATGAATTCTATACTTACGTTTTAACCTTGACTATAATTTCCTGGTTCATGTGTCTAAGTTTTCATAAACCTCTAGCTGAAATGATTTTATCCTTGGAAGTGTGTGGTAGGAATGATATTACTTGAATAAAAAGACCATATCACCTAAGATAAAGTGAGCAAAGGAAAAAGAGTGGTAAGAAATGCAAAACAGCATTTCTATTTCTTGAGGATTTGCAAACTAAATCAGAAAAGTAATTCTAGAGATATAAGCAGTCATCATATTGTGCTTTTTTTTGGTACAAAGTTGATGCATGTGAGAGAAATCACTAAAGGGATCGAATGTATTAGAGAACTTCTGTCTTATTGATTTCAGTTCACTGTATGTAATCCAGTCCAGTGTGAAATAGCAGCTTGGACTTCTAAAGTGCAGGGGTCAGAGTTTTTAAGAACTATGTCCTAGCTCCAAGCAACTACCACAGCAGACTTCTAACAAAAAACATTCTACTGTTGATCAAACTTGCATGCTACAGATGATAGAAAATGTTAGGTGCATGGGTTGAACATATTTTGCCTTTACTTTTTGCAAAATATTGAAACAGGGAAGGTAGCCTCGAGGACTGCTGTTGTTTGTTTTGCAAGGTGCAATAATGAAGAAAAAAAAAAAAAAGACATTAGAAGTAAAACTGAACAGGAGAAGTTAGTCAGGACAGTTAAAAGTGATGATGGAATCATGCTAATTTTACTTGAGGCCAGACCATGTTCCATGTCTTGCAGCTTCCCTTTCCTTACCAATTCCCTGGCTCTGCAGACTATGTAGCATTTTCTCATTAATTCTGGTTTATCACAAAACATGTCATTAACTAATGATACCCAGGTAAACAATTCTGTACTCTAAGGATCTGGAACAGTGTCTATATGACATATGTATGACAATGGTGTAGATTAGGGCTCTCCAGAAGCAAAGCGAATGTGTCCTGATTTCAACTGGAGCAAAGTTGATTTTTTTCTTCATAGTGTCTAATACAATGTTTGGGCTTAAGGAGAAAAACGATGTTGATGACACACTGATGTTTTAGTTGTTGCTGAGTAGCACTGTACAGTGCCAGGGCTGTTTCGGTTTCCTCAGCTTCTCATAATGTCTTGTGAGTGAGGTATATGTGGGTATTCAAGGAGCTGGGAGGGGGCAGAAACAGGACAGTGAACCTAAACTGGCCAAAATGATCTCCCATACCATCTGACATAATGTAGAAAAAAATTGAAAACAGTGAGAAGGTTTTGCGTGAGCAGACACCATTTGAGTATTTGCAGGACACTGGTTGGCAGGTGGTGGGCAATTGCTTGCGCATCACTTGTTTTATATATAAAAATTATTATCGTAGCTATTATTCTTTCTTTTTCCTCTTCCTTTTTCTGCCTTGTTATATAGTTTTTATCTTAACCCACAAGTTCTACATGTTCTTTTTAAATCATTATTTTTTTAAATTCCTGTCCACATCCCAGTTGGAGGAGAGATAGTGAGCAAATGACTCTATGGTGCTTAGCTACCTGCTGGGTTAAACAAGAACAATGTGGTGTTCTAATGCTAAGCACTATACAATGGCAAGCAAGAGGTATATATAATTTCTTCCAGAAAAACTTCTTTTTTTCAGAAAAACTTCTTGAAATCCCATTTGGAGAAATAAGATTAAAATAAAGAGAAATATCATAGTGAAATATATTTAAAAACATAATACTGTGGCATACATTAAAAAATAGCTCTAGGAGGTAAACTGAAGAGTAGGAATAAATGGCTAATTCTTAGCTTTTTCTTTATTTTTTTAAATCTGAGATACTTTAGGATTAGTGCAATACATGTGTTAGGAACAGTGTTAAATTTATATTGAGACACTTGTACAAGGAACACTGACATTTAAAGCCCTAGAGGAATTTGAATTTTGCTTGAGTCCGTGTTCTAACTCTATTCATGGAATAAACATTGTTGCTCAAATACTCCTATGCTGCAAATAGATCAGTGAAGGTTTGTATGAATTTCCTTTAAATTCCAACAGACTCTTTCAGAATGTGGCTTCCAATGAATTTCAAGGTCAAATGTGATGTGGCCTATCTCCACCAAACAAGAAGTCATATATCAAATGGCTTACATGTGGCTTAGGTCTCCTTAGACTCTGAAGAATTTAAATCACAGTGAAAGCCACTTTATCTTTTAAAATATAGTTTAATTCCAACTGAAGTTGATTTCTTGTTGGAAATAAGAAATCACAGTGGAGATTTATAATCTTTTCCTTTCTATTTTGAGACATGACTTTAGCAGTGGTCATTTTCATTGTTAGCAAAACCTGGCATTACATCGGGCAGCCCCTAGGAAATAGTTCAGAGGGACACCAACAGACAATACAGAAAAGAAGTACTACCTATCTTCTTTTCTTCACCAGTGAAAATGACTACTAAGAAATTCTTTATAAGTATCTGTTCCATGCTAGTATCTCTTTGGATCAATCAGTAAAAGACCAGAAATCTGATCATGGACACAAAGATGAATTTGGGGAAGAAGGCTTAGGTTTCAGAAAAAAAGACTGATGGAAGCTGTCTGAAACGTTAAGATTGCGGTGATCCATCTCCCTTGATTTGCTGACCATCCTTCTCTTGATATAACACAGGATACAATTGGCCTTCCAGTCTGCAAGAGCACACTGACGGCTCATGTTGAGCTTTTCATCACCAGAACCCTTCAAGTCCTTCTCCACTAGGCTGCTCTCAGTGATTTCTTCTCCCAGTCTTACTCCAGCCTAGGATTGCTCTGACCCAATTGCAACACCTTGCACTTGGTCTTGTTAAACCTCATTATGTTCACAGAGATCCACTTTTTGAGCTTGTCTGCGTACCTTTGGATGGTATTCCTTCCTTCTGTCATATCACTACTTAGTATGGTGTTTCCTGCAAACTTGCTGAGGGTGTAATGATAAACGGCAGCTATCACTCCAATTGTGATGGTGGATGAATACTTGTAGATTTTATAAAGATGATTGGCATAATTCAGATTCATCATGGCAGAGGAAATTCTTCCCAGATAAAAGACAATTCATGCCCATTCATTCATTCTTTTGCATACATTTTCTAAAGTAACTGTAACGTCTTGAAAAAATAACCTTAAATAACACCTTAACAGCTACCTGGTTAGACCAATAATAAAATGGAAATGTTATAAGGGCATACTAAAGAATATAAGAAGAAAAACTAGAAACATGACAATACAGTTATTTCTATAGTGCTATTTATATACTTGTCTTTAAGCTTACCTTTTGTTTTTGTTGAATTCATTCTCAAAATATTATTTCAGACAAGATCATGCACACAGGAGCAGACACTAATGAGATTGTTTACTAATGAAAACTGAAATTTTAAATAGTTACACTTAAAATCATTTGTACATCTGAGAATACTTGAAATATCAAAGGGCACTTCAAGGCTACCACAACTCTGACTACTTACAGTGTAAAAGACATTTAAAAAAAAAAACAAGGCATGATAGAGTAAAAGACTTAAATTTATGAAATTTCCATAGTGATACAAGATATATTCATAAAAAGAATAGAATATTTTACTTAACTGTATAGATAAATATAGCCAGGTTTTTTTTCTCCTAAATTACATTGTGTGCCTTTTTTTCCTTGTTTTTATTTGTTTAGAAAGGCTATTATACCACCCTTATTTAATGAATAACTCAGAAGAATTTAAACTGTCAATTTCAAAAGATTACTGTTTGAACCGGCTCATTTTGGCATCTGATACCATCTTGCAGGATATTAGCTACTACAGCTAACAGCAATTAACAATCTTCATTTTGCAAATCCATGATAACTTGAGGCTGTCATCATAAAAGTATCTCTGATGAATGCTTAAATAGGATGGATATGGCAACATATATGCTTCAATGAAATTGTTGATGACCAGTATCAGATTACAGAGGACACTGAATGAATAACTTTGCCAATCCTCAGGAGATGAAGTGTGATGTATTGACTATACTCAAAGAGACAAAAGAGTCTCACTAGAGAAAAAAATCTCCTTTTTTTTTTTTTACTCCCAGAAAAGTGCATATCCCAAAGCAATACATTCCTTTCACTCACTGGCCTTGATTTAAGCTTCTTATAAAATTACAGAAATTGCAGATCTATTTTAATAAAAACTATACTAAACCTTAAATGAATATTAACAAAGGATTTTTTGTGGTGATTCAGATATTTCTAAAGTTAGATACAGATATCCAACTGAGTAGCACACATTATAAGTGAAATATGTCTGTATAATTTATTTCATACCCCATAAGATTTTTTTACTGTAATACTGTAATACCTATCCAAGGTTACATGCAAAGTTTTCAAAAAATTTTTCATCTCCAAATGATGTGATGTACTAATCTGAGAACATTTTCCTCTTTAAATTAACTAAAATATCCAAGATAGATTTGTTGGCTTTTTTTTAACACCATCAATTCTGAGAGTAAAACTCTTCTTTGTTTTTGTTACAGAAAAGAGAGAACGTAATAATAGTGATAGGAGGAACTGTCAGATATTATTTCTTTAACAAATCAAATATAATAGCTTCTAACTGACATATTTGTGAAAGGACCAGTTCTGACACTCCATTAAACAAAAGGGGAGCAGAGTTTTATCCAAATGCAGTGTAGACTGTGATGCTGTGATGTGCCCTGCAACTTTAGGGAACTTGTCAGACCACACCAGGCACATTCTCTCCTATTGTCACATTTTCTTCCTGTGGAAGATAAGATGTCCGATTATTTTCATTTTTGCAGCAAGGTTCAAAACACACGGGTGATTGTAGGCTTCTTTGTACAACACCTATTGTTTAAGAAACTCATATAAGACACAATGGCTCTCTGTTCTTCCTTGGGGAGCTGCTCTGCCCTGTCCTGCTCTGGAAAGTAACTATCACCATGCTCTGGATTATTCAGATTATATTGACCTCTACTTTTGAGGCTATTCAATTTTCTTTTAAATTGAGTATTCATTTAAGTTAGTTTCCCAGTTTGTTGTCTGAGGGGAGCACTGAGGCTGCAGAACACTCTTTACTCCTTCTTTCTAGTGAGGAAAAAAGGAATGGGATCACAAAGTGAAGGAAATTATATCCTGCTCACCTGAACACATTTCATTAATGTATTCTTCACATTCACTCTTGAAAAGAATTATAAACTCAACATCATTTTCAACAGCACCATAGGTGGGTGTAAATGTTTAGTAAACAATTTTATTTCACTTGCACATGTTCAATTAACTGACAGGTACAATCTTCAATTAATTGGCAGGTACTGTTAAGAATATTAGAATAGGATAAATAACCTGCATCTTCTGAGTCCAAATGGGTAATGTTGCTTCTTTGACAACTGGTTTATTACTTTGGAGGTTTGCCCTTACAAAGAAATTCTTTATTCAACAGTTTCTAATGCTGAATCTAGCATCCAAATTTAACATGACAGATCCTCATGGATTAATTAAATTTTACAAGCTACTTACTTGGATGAATATTTACTAAATTGGCAGAAGAAACATTTAATATGGATGTTTTTGTCTCAGCTTTTTCTGATTGCTTTACTTAAAGAAATATTAAACTCGTGTTTCCTCTCCTTACACTTTTACACAAGCTGTTTTGAAATCTGATCAGTGACAATCAAAAACTGCTCAGGGGTTGCACTGATGTGCATCTTAAGGAATGAGGTCTGAAAGTGGGCTAACCTGGCAGACTTGAACAATTTGGAGAAGAACAAAGATACCAAAGTAAAAAGACAGCATGATCTCAAACAGCCAACTCAGCTGGGAGTGGGAATGTGAGCTGTATGCCTTAGCAAGCTTAGTGGCAGATACCAAACTTACCCACTGAGGACAATGTACCACCACTACTAAGACTCTCCCTTTGATGAAATTTCACCATTTAGGAGTTTCTAAAGTATTAGCAGAGCATGAGGCTTTACCAAGAGGGGAAAAAAGCGCTGGGTCTCCTCTCTCAGCAGAGTGGAGTGTCCTGTTGCTTTGCCCTGAAATTTAAAATTTTAATCCTACATATTTCAGAAATTAAGACTCACGTTTGATAGCTGAAAGACTTTGGTCTATTTTCTCAGAAGTGTTTCTTAATGACCATCTACTTACTGCTAGAAAAAACTGAGTATGGCTAGCTTGATACTTTTGCAGAACCTTTCTTAAAGTGAAAATGGAAAAGATGTGCCTTTGTAGAAAATGAAACAGAAATACTAAGTTTGTTTCAAGTTTCACTTACAGTAAGTCCACTGTCTGGAAACTAATATGATCCTTTTACTATTCCACCCACTCAATAGACAGAAATAAATATTCTTTAACACTCAAGCTACTAATGTATTCTGATGAAAAGTGGTGACAACTTTAAAGAAATATTCATTATCTAAGTGACGTAATAAGAAATTATGTGATTCTTTGAGTAAGTTAGTATTCATAAGACATGGTGAATTATTCAGCGAACAGCTTTCTACAACTCTGAAGTTGCTTCCAGATCACAAAGAACTGAAATTATTCGGCAAATAGTGGCAATATTAATATTGAAAATGATAAATATTCTAAATGTGACTAGCACAAAAATTATGACAAAATTAATTGAATTAGATATTTAATCATATCTTATTAATTGTTTATATAACTCAATTAATTTTGCCATAATTTTTCAATTGGTTTTTATATAGAAGGTTTTATAAATTACTATTATTTTGGATCTATGTCCCATGTTCACAATTCAACAAAAGATGTGAAGTAGAAGTTAATTTAAGCTTTTAATGTGGAAATAAGCAATGATAGCTATGCTCACTTCTGACACACAGATGATAGCATTTATATAAACAAAATCTTTCAGAAAAGATTTTTTGAAACCTTACCATGGAATATATTCAAAGGATAATAAAGACTTCAACATTAAGAAATTGTTTAAGGAATGCAAAGCCTTCCCTTTTAGTTTATGCAGGTTCTGAGGGTTTTTTTTGTATTTTTTATAATTTGCCTTTTAATTTTCCGTAGTTGCAGATATTAATGTTGTGAGGAACCCCAGCTTTGTTTCCCTGGATAGCTGTCCATGACTTTAAAGCAATACTGAAATAAATAATAATATATAGGTAATATATAGGTTTGTAGTCAGCTGGGTATGGGCCAGCTCAAACTTTGATAAAGTTAAGGTACATTAAAAAATCTTCTCGGTTTAGAGGATGAGTTTATTTACATGTTCAAAAATTCCACACTTAATTACTTGTCCTGAAATTTTGCGTTTTTGACAGCTCTGCCTGGAAGGTCTCCAGTTCCAAATCTGAGGCCATATAAATAAGGTTTCTCTGAGAAAAGACACCCAGAATAAATGTCTCAAAATGATAGATGCTGCAGCCTTCATAGGAGAATGTGAAAAACTGTGCATCAAACCAATGCCCATACTTCAAAAGTGTTTGTTAGTATCTGAGCCTCACTTTCCATCTTCTGAGAGACATTACCTCCAAAAGGCTTTTCTGGGAGAGTTTATATTTGTGGCACATATTTTCAGTCACTTGGAACACCAACTACAGACAACACGATGAAAGAAAGCACAACTACTGTTTGAAGGCTGGTGTCTGTGACCTGGGGTAAACAAGCAGAATGAAGATCAGACTGAAAACTTGTGTGTCTTGGGGGTGAGGTAGTAAGTACAGCGTACCAGGGCTGGGACTGAGCAGGCAGACATAGAGCTAGAGATTTCTGGCTGACAATAACATCAACAAGTTTTAAAATGCAAATGCCTTACAAGACTTATAACAGGTGACTGAAAGAGTGCAAAGATGCTAGCAAGGACAGGCATCAAATAATTTTGTGATTCCATCATGAAGAAAGGTGTAATAATACCATACCTCTCACACACTTCCTGTTACTGTGGTCCTTACACAGTAAGTCAAGTTTACTGACACGAGGTCTGTGAATTCTTTTGGTGGACTGATTACACAAGAAAGCACCTGTAATTTTGCTTGCAACAATACCCTTGATGAAACTTGCATGAAAGATAGACTTTACAAATATCAGTAGATAATGTGAAAGTAGAATTATGTCTTTATTTCTTCTACTTCTTTTCCTCTTTGGAAACTAAAAAATAAACAAAACATTGAAACTGGAAATTAAATGGCAATTGTTTACCTGAATGCAGAACTGCAGAGTGCAACAGAGCTCAGACCTCTAAAAGATGTGAGAAGTTTGTCTTTGATCTGTGCTGTAAAACACCAATAGCATATATTCACTCCTTTTGTCTTTGAACAGCTTTGAACAGTTTTTAACAGGAGCACCTATGTCTTTGTCAGTCAATCCATAAAGAAGCTTAGTCTACAGGATGAATGCTGAATTAGAAAAATTTCACAAATCCTTCCCTTGATTTTAAAAACACACAATCACATTAAATATCCCATCTTCAGATTTCGTGACCACCATCATCTCACCCCTAACTTCTGACGCTCTTCCTGGCAGTCCATCTACTAACACCATGTACAGGACACAACACTGAAACATGAAACATCAAAACTCTCAGGTCTTATGTGTGGCTTTTTCCTGTGGTTACCTGTCTGGAGGTTTGATGGAAAGGATCAGCCCCTTGTTAGGCAGGCACAGTCCATCTCTTTGGTTTTAATTTAAAAGTGCAGTTTTGCAAAGTAGCTCTGTGGCATCCTTCAGTTAGCCTTACCAATTAACTCACTGAGTAGAAACTGAGACTTTATTTACAGCTTCACAAAGAAATCTTGAGTTTTAATCTTATTTATAACAGATATTTGTGCTTTTTTTGCTTTGGATTCTTCTTTTTTGAAGAAGTGAATTCCATTGTGAAAAAACTAAGACTAAAACTACTGTAGTAGAACAATTCAAGTTCTGCGGAAATGTATAGTAATTACATTTTTTAAAACAAGAACTGTACTTACTTTATCCTTCCATCTTGCTTTGAGTCTCCATGAAAATTCCATTTCATCTGCAGAAAGGTACATGAAAAACAATTTTCAAAGTAGCTCCTATGAGACATCATTGAAAGCCTTGTCTTTGCACTCAGAAATCTCTGTCACATTATGCTTATACAAAAGGAACCACTTTGGCTTTTGAATGGGATACGTCTGGAGCTTAAGGTATTAACCACAGCAACCTGTGCTGCAGCCATCTGTCCACATTAAAATACAGCCTTGTTCAATGCACACCAGGCCCAGGAGAGGAAATGCAGTCTTATGGAAAGTGAGCTTGCAGATTAACTAAAGGAATTGGAATAACTTCATGTGGCTACTTCTGGCAAGCACCACTGCTCAAATTTCCAAAGCCATCAATCTATAGAGTATTATGCTTGACATGCTATTTGTTGAATAAATGTGAGGGAAAAGAGAATCTGGCCTATTGACTAGATTATTTGTTGTGATTCATTTATTCATATCTATTACTCAGTGCCTGAAAAGCAGCTGTCTTCAAGATGATATATGTTCTAAAGGGTATTGGCACAGCTACCCTTAAGGTCTGACCAGATTAGCTCTTTCCAAAATTAAAGTAAAACAGAGTAAAAAACAAGATTAAAGTAAATATCAATAAAAAAACAATTCATAAATAATCTAACATGTCAAATAAAATATGGGAAATAGAGAAGATGACAGAAAATTAATAGATGTGCTAAAAGCAGCCTCATAGCCTATTACCCAGAGCTGCAAAATTTACTGTCACAGAGATGCCATAAATTTGTGACAAAATACTGGAATGAACACAAATGGGAAGCAAACCTGCAAAGTCAGTGCTGAAATGCTTGCAGTGTTGGAAAATACTTCTATTAACTAGGCTGCTGAGAAAGGTGGAAAAATTTTGGACAGTTACATAGAAGTATATGAGCTTGATCTAAAGCCTATCAGAGAAAAAAATTGTTGACGGATATAGATACATAAACCTTAAGAATTTAACTGCAATTATTAATTTTGATTTGATCAAAGATAAAAAAATTATAATAAACCCTGCACAGTAATTTAAATATGTAGTTAGGAATCATGGTCAGAAACTGTCCTTTTGAATACACTTTAAGGCCACTATGAGCCCTAAATCCTGAAGACGTGTTTAATTCATATGTGCATTAATATATGGTAAATGAAACTTAATATGCTATTTCTAAGAGTTCTGTTTTGTATAGTAAAGTAAAAAAAAAAAAATTCCCTTAAATCTTAGGATGGGCCAGTTTTCTTTTGTGTGAACTCAGGATTTTTCTGATGCCATATAAGACACTTCTGTGAGCTGGCATTTCTGACAATGCAGAGTCATCATCATGCAACAAATTTCATAGATAAAAAGGACAAAGTGGTGTCCCTTGTCATGTGAATATTAAAAGAACAGACTTTCCTAACACTGGATTTTGACCTGTCCATCATGTTCTTCAGTCAGTGCTAAAGTCCATGTCTGCTGATTGTTCTCTGGGAAAGTATCCATTCTTCTAACAATATAGAAGGTGACAAGTCCGCCCATCTCTGTGGTATTAAATTGGTCAGAAACTGTTTTTGACAACCTCAAAAGAAACTTGGGGTAGGATTATACTAACCTAACTGTAGAGAGCTGAAAACAGGTGACTCATCTTGTACTCCTTTTATAACCAGGGCAAAGAGAAATGTAGTGATTCATTTTACATACTTTCGAAACAGAGAAGGATTGGTGAGAGATGATTGGTGAGACTGGTGAAGGTCTAGAGTTTTCTTGGACAGAGTGACCACAAAATGGAGAGTTCTTGATTCTTGGGGAAGTCAGGAGGGGTCAGCAAAACTGCTATCTTGGATTTCCAGAGGTCAGACTTTGAACTTTTCAGGACTACTGGTAGGTAGAGTTCCTTAAGATTTGGTTCTAAGGGGTAAAGTTGTCCAGAAAGGCTGGTTGCTCCTCATGAAGGAAGTCTTAGAGGCTCAGGAGCAAACTATCCCCCTGAGCCACAAGAGGAACCAACAGGGAAGAAGATCAGTGTGGATGAACAGAGAGCTTTTCCTGAGGCTCCAGGAGAAAAAAGAATCTACCTTCTGTGGAAGAAGGGATGAGAAGCTCAGGGAGGATACAAAGAAATTGTTAGAATGTGGAGGGAGAAAAATCAGAAAGGCAAAAGCCCACTTGAAGTCAAATAGATTAGTGGAGTAAAAGAGAATAAAAGACTTTTTTACAAATATATCAACGGTAAGAGGACTAAAAAGAATCTCCATCCTTTACTGGATGCAGCAGAGAACATGACTACTGAGGATAAAGAAAAAGGCTGAGATTCTCAATGCCTTCTTTACATCCGTTTTTAATAGTCAAACCAGTTATAATGGGTTCATGAAAGGTAGGTTCTGCTTGACTGAACTGATCTCCTTCTATGATCTCGTGACCTCCTGGTGGCTGTTGACATAGTCTACCTAGACTTCAGCAAAGCCTTTGATGCTGTATCCCACAGTGTTCTCCTGGAGAAACTGGCAGCCATGGCTTGGATAGGTGTACTTTTTTTCTGGGTAAAGAAGTGGCTGGAGGCCCAGAGAGTGGTTGTAAATGGAGTTGAATTCAGTCAGTGACTGGTCATGACTGGGTACTGGGGCCTTCTTCTTCAGTGTCAATATAGATGACCTGGACAAGGGCACTGAGTGCACCCTCAGTAAGTTTGCAAATGACACCAAGCTGGGAGAAAGTGTTGATCTGCCTGGGAGTAGGAAGGCCCTACAGAGGGATCTAGACAAGCTGGATAGCTGAGCTAAGGCCAACAGGATGAAGTTCAACAAGATCAAGTTTTGGGTTCTGCTCTTTGGCCACAACCCCAGACAATGCTACAGGCTTGAGGCAGAGTGGATGGAAAACTGTGTAGAGGAAGTGGACCTAGGGTTATTGGTCAACACTCAGCTGAGCCAGCAGTGTGCCCAGGTGGCCAAGAAGACCAATGACATCCTGGCTTGTATCAGAAATAGTGTTGCCTGCCAGAGTACAGAAGTGATCATCTCTCTGTACTCAGCCCTGGTGAAGCTGCACCTCGAGTACTGTGTTCAGTTTTGGGCCCCTCAGTATAGGAAAGTCATCAGGGCACTAGAGTATTTTTAGAGAAGTACAATGAAGGTGGTGAGGAGTTTGGAGCACACACCTTACGAGAAGTGGCTGAGGGAACTCAAATTGTTCAGTCTAGAGAAGAGGAGGGTCAGGGGAGAACTTATCGCCCTCTACAACTACCTGAATTGAGGTTGTGGTGAGGTGGGAATCGGCCTCTTCTCCCATGTAGCTAGGAGTAGAGGGAATGGCCTCAAGTTGCACCAGGGGATGTTCAGGTTGCAAATTAGGAAATACCTCTTCTCTGCGTGAGTAGTCAAGTGCTGGAACAGGCTACCTAGGGAGCCTGTTGAAATCACTGACACTGGAGATGTTCAAGAAACTTTTAAATGTTGTACTGAGGGACATGCTTTAGTGGGAAATATTGGTGATGGATGAACAATTGGACTGGATGATCTTGGAATTCTTTTCCAACCTTGGTGGTCTATGATCCAATGAAATCAACTTTATGCTGAAAGCAGTGGCACAATGGAAATGTCCATGCCTCCTCATTAACTATGAAGGGAGTTTATATGATTACCTCAGATCTAGACAAGTACAATGCATCTTTATGTTTCTACTTTGAAAATATTTCCTTGTGGGGTACTCAGCAATGCATGAGAATGCATGGTAAAGTTGAGGAAATATATCAGAACAACAGCAAAGTATTTTTAGGCCAAGATCTCTTCTTTTGCTTAATCACTGAGTACTGCATATGGTCCTTTGGGGTACCATATTGTGGGACTGCGTCCCCATGCATTCATCAGATTTGTAAGTGCTATGTTCTGGTCCAGCAGTCTCTGACACAGATGGTTTAGATGGATTCCTGTTCCAGCTCAGATCATTACTCCAGCCCTAAAATGACTATCGATGAGCTTGAATGTCTGAATAAAAGTCCATGAAAAAATCAGACCAGATGATCATAGTGGCACCTGCTAGCTCAAAATCTGGTTATCTGTGTGGAAAAGAAAGGCACAATCTCATCATCTAGTAAAACCAGATCTGTTTTGTGACAGTGACCTCTTTCTCATGACCTCACCTATGCACCTGTCTATGTGGCTGCTTATGTAAATTTTGGAGGATGGCTATTGCATTTATAGGGACAAACATACACTTCTACACAATGGTGCTAATGTACCTTCAAATAACAGCTGATGGAGTGAAAAATACAGGCACTCTTGGCATACTCATAGACTTCTCAAGCTTGCTATAGAAGTAAACACTTAACTCAACAGCTTTCATCGAAATATTAACTGCCATGTGTTCTCTTCCCCGAGTAAAAATATAGAAATTCTTTGTGTCTGCATTTCTTGGTCTGTAGTGGCTAAAATCTATTAGCCTCCTAGCAGTTTTTTCAGGATAATTTTATGTTCATAAAATGCCTAAAGATATTTGGGGGGAGGGGAATATTTGACGGGGGGGGGGAAGAAAGTATAAAAAAGACAGAAGGTTTGCTGCTATAAAAATATAAATATTTTTTCCTCATTTTTTTCTCCATGCTAAATTATAGGGAACTATACATGGAGATATTACATATATGATTTTATTTTTTTAAAGTGACAATAAATTTGCTTCTCTACACAGAATACTTTGAAATCAAAAAAAGATTTTATAATAACAGCAATAAAATGATCTATCTGGTGAAGCAGTTAGGCTATACAGTCCACTTACTCTGAATTCCACATCTATGTGAACATACTTTAACTGTTTTAAAAGCAATAAATTGCTTTTTGAATATACATATATTCTCATAAAGTTTCTTGTCTCCCTCTCACATAAGAAATGTGTGACATGCTTTAATGTACTCCTTGTAAAAGTAGTACAAGAGGGGGATGAAAACAAAAAAACCTTCACTGAATTAAATGTTACAGTTTGGGCACAGGTTAAACATCCGTAAAAAATTTATGTCAAGATTAAGAGAAGAGTCTT